GTGGAGACGGCGCGGCGCTCTTCCTCCGAGCCTGGGGAGGGGTCAAAGGTCATGGGGGTCAAGGGGGCGGGGGAGGGGTCAAGGGGTCAAGGGTTGGGTCAAGGGGTCAAGGGTTGGGTCATTGGTCAAGGGTTGGGTCATTGGGAAGTGGTCATTGGTCATTGGTTGGGTCAAGGGGTCAATGGTTGGGTCTTTGGTCACTGGTCATTGGTCAATGGTCATTGGTCAAGGGTCTGGGTCATTGGTCATTGGTCATTGGTCAATGGTCATTGGTCATTGGTCATTGGTCATTGGTCATTGGTCATTGGTCATTGGTCACTGGTCAATGGTCATTGGTCATTGGTCATTGGTCATTGGTCATTGGTCAATGGTCATTGGTCAATGGTCATTGGTCATTGGTCATTGGTCAAAGGGTCAATGGTCATTGGTCATTGGTCATTGGTCAGTGGTCAGTGGTCATTGGTCATTGGTCAATGGTCATTGGTCAGTGGTCAATGGTCAATGATCATTGGTCATTGGTCAAAGGGTCAATGGTCATTGGTCAAGGGTTGGGTCAAGAGGTCTAGGGTTGGGTCATTGGGCAGTGGTCATTGGTCAATGGTCAATGGTCATTGGTCATTGGTCATTGGTCATTGGTCAAAGGGTCATTGGTCAATGGTCATTGGTCATTGGTCAATGGTCATTGGTCAATGGTCATTGGTCAATGGTCAATGGTCATTGGTCATTGGTCAGTGGTCATTGGTCAATGGTCATTGGTCATTGGTCAATGGTCAATGGTCATTGGTCAATGGTCATTGGTCAATGGTCATTGCTCATTGGTCAAAGGGTCAATGGTCATTGGTCAATGGTCATTGGTCAATGGTCATTGGTCAATGGTCATTGGTCATTGGTCATTGGTCAATGGTCAATGGTCATTGGTCATTGGTCAATGGTCAATGGTCATTGGTCAGTGGTCAAAGGGTCAAGGGGTCAAGGGTTGGGTCATTGGACAGTGGTCATTGGTCATTGGTCATTGGTCAATGGTCAATGGTCATTGGTCAGTGGTCAATGGTCAATGATCATTGGTCATTGGTCAAAGGGTCAATGGTCATTGGTCAAGGGTTGGGTCAAGAGGTCTAGGGTTGGGTCATTGGGCAGTGGTCATTGGTCAATGGTCATTGGTCATTGGTGATTGGTCATTGGTCATTGGTCAAAGGGTCATTGGTCAATGGTCATTGGTCATTGGTCATTGGTCATTGGTCAATGGTCATTGGTCAATGGCCATTGGTCATTGGTCATTGGTCAATGGTCATTGGTCAGTGGTCAATGGTCATTGGTCAGTGGTCAATGGTCATTGGTCATTGGTCATTGGTCAAAGGGTCAATGGTCATTGGTCAAAGGGTCATTGATCATTGGTCATTGGTCAGTGGTCAATGGTCATTGGTCAATAGTCATTGGTCATTGGTCAATGGTCATTGGTCATTGGTCAGTGGTCAATGGTCAGTGCTGGGTTAGTGGTCAGTGCTGGGTCAGTGGTCAGTGCTGGGTCAGTGGTCAGTGCTGGGTCAGTGGTCAGTGGTCAGTGGTCAGTGGTCAGTGGTCAGTGGTCAGTGGTGGGGTCAAAGGTCAAGCTCAGGGTTTGGGGTCATCGCTCCAGGGGTCAAAGGGTGACCGAGAGCTGGGACAGGAACGGAACTGACCCAGCCTGGAGGGGTCACTGAGCGGTCACTCACTGAGCGGTCACTCACTGAGTGGTCACTCACACTCACTGAGCGGTAACTCAGACTCAGGGGTCACTCAGGGGTCACTCAGGGGTCACTCGGAGGTCACTCGGGGGTCACTCAGTGAGTGGTCACTCAGTGAGTGGTCACTCCCACTCACCCTCGGGGTGTTTGTACTGGTCAGTGATGTCCACTCTGGCCGCAGAGCCGGCCCCCAGGGTGCTGATCCTGCGGCCGATCGCCCCCTCCTCCACGTGCACCACGGCGAAGCCCCCGTGCGGCTGGCGCTGCCAGTACACCTTGTCGCTGTTCACCTGCTCGTTTGCATAATTAATGAGCTCATTTGCATATCTAATCACCCCTCTGTCACTGGAATTTATAACGCAAATCAATTAGGGTAATTAGTGCCAGCTCTGTTAATGAGGCAATGGCAAAGCCCCCGTGTGTCTGCCCCTGCCAGTACATCTTGTCACTGATCAGCTTCTCATTTGCATATTTAATGAGTTCATTTGCATGTCTACTGACCCCTTTGCCATTGGAATTTGTTATGCTCCCTAATTAGTGTAATTAGTCCTTGCTTTGTTAATGAGGCAATGGAAGAGGTTCTATGTGTCTGATGCACCTTGTCCCTGTTCTTCTTCTCATTTGCATATTCAATGATCTCATTTGCATATCTAATTATCTCTCTGTCACTGGAATTTATGACGCCATTCAATTAGGGTAATTAGTGCCCGCTCTGTTAATGAGGCAATGGGAGAGGTTCTATGTGTCTGGTGAATGAGCTCATTTGCATGTTTAATGACCCCTCTGTAACTGGAATCAATCATGCCCCTTATTTAGGGTAATTAGTGCCCGACTTGTTAATGAGGCAATGGAAGAGTTTCTATGTGTCTGATGCACGTTGTCCCTATTCTCCTTCTCATTTGCATATTCTATGAGCTCATTTGCATATCTAATCACCCCTCTGTCACTGGAATTTTTAACACTGATCAATTAGGGTAATTAGTGCCCGCTCTGTTAATGAGGCAATGGGAGAGGTTCTGTGTGTCTGGTGCACCTTGTCGCTGTTCACCTGCTCATTTGCATAATTAATGAGCTCATTTGCATGTCTAATCACCCCTCTGTCACTGGAATTTATGACGCCGATCAATTAGGTTAATTAGTGCCCGCTCTGTTAATGAGGCAATGGAAGAGGTTCTATGTGTCTGGTGCACCTTGTCGCTGTTCTCCTTCTCATTTGCATATTTAATGAGCTCATTTGCATATCTAACCACCCCTCTGTCACTGGAATTTTTAACACTGATCAATTAGGGTAATTAGTGCCCGCTCTGTTAATGAGGCAATGGAAGAGGTTCTGTGTGTCTGATGCACCTTGTCCCTGTTCTCCTTCTCATTTGCATATTCAATGAGCTCATTTGCATGTTTAATGACCCCTCTGTAACTGGAATCAATCATGCCCCTTATTTAGGGTAATTAGTGCCCGACTTGTTAATGAGGCAATGGGAGAGTTTCTATGTGTCTGATGCACGTTGTCCCTATTCTCCTTCTCATTTGCATATTCTATGAGCTCATTTGCATATCTAATCACCCCTCTGTCACTGGAATTTATGACGCAAATCAATTAGGTTAATTAGCCCCCGCTTTGTTAATGAGGCAATGGGAGAGGTTCTGTGTGTCTGGTGCACCTTGTCCCTGTTCTCCTTCTCATTTGCATATTTAATGAGCTCATTTGCATGTTTAAT